TTTTTTTTTCAAAAGTGTCGATAGATAGAGTTTAAATAAAAGATTCCAAAAACTCAGACGAATTAATTTGTTGAGTTATAGAACTCCGGGAAACCGCATTAAAGTTCCATGTCTAAATAACCCGTCACGCTCGAGTTTTTGATTTTCATAAATATTTTGCTAAAAATATTTTGTGTATGAAATTAAACTGGTGTTATACAAGTTTGGTTTCCTGAGTCCAAAAATGTTCTCGAAAACCACATCGGCAATGAGTAAGTGCCTCGACGAATTAAAACAGCTTAAGAAAAATTGGTAAAACTGGTGTTATACAAGTTTGGTTTCTTAAAACGGTCAGATCTTTTGCATACCAACTCCGTTTTGGGTGTTCTTTATATTTTTGGATCCAGGGGTACATGTACTATGACTCTAGAATAATTACTTCGCTCAAAACTGCTTATCACGAAATCTAAGCTTTTCAGACGTATTACTAAGGTTACAGGTTGTGCTATTTGATTCGTTTGAGATTCTATACATTTGGAAGTATGATATCAACAACTATCATATAATAGTTGAAATGAACTTATTTTTTTACTTAAGATTAAATAAAATCCAATAACTGAAGTTGCAACGAGATTTACGGTGAATTGACTGTCTACAATATTAGCCATAAATTATGGGATGTCGCAAGGTTGACCATTGAAGTTAATTCTGATGTTTGATTTCTGTCTAATCCCTCTTTGGCAAAAATTTGATTTGGAGTTTGCTGAATTTTTGGAAAAATAGTTGCTTGAACTTCTAAATTTTTCATTGCATCATTTAAACAAATTGTTCAAACTCAAATTTCTTTTTGGTTGCTCATTATTATTTGCAAATGATGAACAATCAACTTCTTCTTCAACTGATATTTCATTCATTTTTCTTTCATCAAATTCAGACACATTCTTAGAATTGAGATTTTCTTACAAATTCAATTTCTTGCATAAGTTATATTTCTTAATATAATTGATTTGATTTGTTGTTTGTCCTTTTTAGTTAAAACATCATTCAACATCTTTTTATTTTCTTTGGACTTAATGTATTCTTCAGTTTTCTCAAGTCCCACTTTTTAAGAATCACTAACATATTCATTTGATGATACCATCGATTCGTGCCTATGATATCCAACATCAATTTCATCTTCATTTAATTCAAAGAAAAGGTAAAGTCATTTTTTGCAAAGTTTTTCCTATTTCCCATTCAAGATATTATTGTTTGATGTTAGTGTAGAGACGTTTCTCAATGAGACAAAAAATATTTCTCTATTTTAGTATAATTTTACTGTCCTTCTTATGATTTGTTACATCATATTTAAAACTAACAAGATCTAATTTCAAGGATTATATTTTCTTTGTATTTCTTCATTCTTAGATTAAATCCTCCTAAGAGTATCATTAAGATTAAAAAAAATTTATGCGAGTTCTCTTTTAACTATCACTAAGATCAGAAACAGTGCCGCATAAATCAGCTCATTCAGAATCAAAACGAGAAATTGGAATTTCAAGAGATTTAAGAATTAAGTGTAACTTATCAATTACCTTTCTTTACTCTGTGACATGCTCCTTCATCGTCTTTGCAGAAAAACATGCATCTGAATTAGTTCCACCATTTGTGAAGTATCCTTGATTTTATGAACTAAAGCTTTTGAACATGAAACATATGCCTCCTCTCATCTTTTCATACTTCACTATCAAGAAATCTCCATGAGTTGGTCTACAAACTTCTTCGTCGTCCAAGTCATTTGACCAAACTTCAACATTACCATCATCATTGTCATCTTCAGTCATAACCAAAGCTGGTTTGCTTGAATTCTTGAGAAGTTCTCATTCTACTTTTGGAGCATGCATTCCTTTGAGAAATGATTCTTTCCATGCAATAGTCGTAGTTAAAGCATGAGTCACCAAGAAGCTTCTTCTCCTTCTTTTCATCATCTCTTTGAACGTTTTTGAAACTTCCATTTTTGGATTTTACTGAATTTGAACTTTCTTGGTAGTGATTGTTTCCATCATATTCGTTTTTGTTGTTTCTAAAACGAGAGAGAAATTATGTTTTAAGAATTTCTTTGGATTTTCTACCATCAAAAGTTTGTCTTCTTTTGTAAGTTCCTCATTTGAGATATCAACTTCAGAATCTTCCACAATAATCTTTGTCTTCTTTCTCTTTGATCTTTCACTTTTTTCACCAAAACTGATGAACCAACACGTGTAATTAGCTTTTCGTCTTTCATTACTTCATCTTCATGAGACTTCAATATACCAAGAGATTGTGCAAGAGAGTAATTCTTGAATTGTTCAGGTGCTTTGACAGTAGAAATAATCAACTTCCATTCTGACCTCAAACAATTCATGAATCTGACATTTTTTTCAATGATTTCTCTCTTCAAATTGTATTTTAGTATATTACTTCAAATATGATTAATTCAATTTACAATTTGTTCAATAGTTTTATTAGACTATTGCTCAAAAGATCCAAAATTCAGATAGAAGTAACATTTGCAGAGAATGAGTGAGATCAGCCTCTCTAGAATAGAATTCAATCTATCCATTATATCTTTTTCAATTTGACAAGAACTAACCAAATGAAAAGTATTACGAGGAAGAGAAAACCTTATGATCTCAATTCTTTCAGGTTGCTCATCAATTTGTTTTTCTCCATGTAATCAATTTGAGTATCATCAACAATAATAGATTCAAAACTTTCGTAAGATATGACTTCCTTCTTGCTCTTGGAATACTTGTGTGCTCCTTTTTTAACTGCTTTCCAAATGCTAGATCTATAAATTTCAATACTTAGAACATAATCTGCAAAGTGAAGAACCAAGATTCCGTAGTCTTTAGGAAACAAAATTGCAATTCTTGATGTGGAACCGATACTGCTTGGAAGGTTGAACGTGATTAAGTGTGAATCCTCTTTTTCATTTTGAATGAAATAAAATTTGAACAAGATCAATGAACTTGAAAAAGAGTAAATCAAACGATACGAATAAGGAATTAAAGATCAATTTGCAAAACGATTTGCAAAATGTAGAACAACTCTAGAATTCGATGAACTGATTTAGAAAAACACAATGTACACAATAAAAATGATGGAATCGAGACCTAAAAAAGCTCTGATGATCACCTGCTATGATACCAACTAAAGGAACATTTAGATTCACAACTCAAAAAAGATAAGATTCACAAGAACACATGAAGTAAATAAGATTTTTATTTGATTAATGAGTAAGACAAAACAATTCGATATGGTTCAAAGAACTAGTATATGTGCAAAACTCTTACCCATTCTTCTAACCAATATCCCTATACAGGCTTCATAGGAATATTTGAAAGGCAACTCAAGTTAGCAGCAAATTTGCGAACTTAATGTAACAAGAAGTGTGAAATCGCAACATCACTCACACTAAGTAAATACTTTATCAAACAAGAAAAAAATCCATTACAAGTTGACACAACACTTACTACAAAATATACAAATTTGATCATCCAATCAACTTCTTGAGATGCCTCACATAGACCTCTATACTCTTATTATGTTGTAAAAAGTGTGACTACTCCTTGCTTTGAACTTTTCCACAAAATGACTCCTCCATTAAGTGTAGACATGTATCCCGACTGTGATAAACATTATCTCGATCAGTGTTGAAACCAACATCAGTGTAATATCTTACGGTAAGCTCTTCGTCAACTCCTCCAT